TTGGTTTGTTTTATAAAATAAAAAGAATAATTCTGCCAAATGCATGTAGTGATGGGTGTTAGGATAAATTAATTGAGCTTGAGGAATGAGGAAGAAGGAGCTAGGATTGTCTATACAAGACGTCAAAAGCTGGGCCATGTATTTCCAGGAAGTTGTCAGCTCTCAGTGTGGCCCTGTTTAAACAATTTTGCTTCCAAGTATCTGCTACAGGGTCTCCCACCCTAACTTACATGGGCTACCTGTGTGATTTAACAGAGGTTCCTTGTGAGTTTGCTTTGGCTGTGAAAACAAATGACACACACACACACACACACACACACACACACACACACACACACACACACACACCACCACCACCACCACCACCAACAACAACAACAACAACAAAACCCTCATTTCTGAGTACTCTGACTGGAGGCTTCCTGACCTCTTGCTAGATTCTAGTGGTAGCCAATCATCAGTGTTGTTTTGCTTACTGACACATTACCCTAGTCTCTAACTGTGAGGGCCCACCATAACCCCACATGGCTTCATTTTAACTGATTGCTTCTGCAGAGAACCTCTTTCCAAACAAGACTATCTTCTGAAGCTAAGGGCGGACTTAAGTTTGAAAGAACACTCCAACCCAGTATAGGCACGATTCTAATGTATTTCACTGGAACATCTTAATCCAAAGCACCCAGTCCTGGTGAGATGCATCAGATGTTTAAAGAATACCACACCAAAGAGTGATGGAGAAAAGGTTTGGATCCAAGAACAAAAGCAGGCAATGAAGCATCAGGAAGCCTTTTTGGATCATTTATACAGCCAGTTACATACATATATTCCAAGTAAACATAGTAGGCTGGGCATGTGGCTCAGTTGGTAGAGTGCCAGCCTAATAAAACCTTGGGTTCTATTGAATAAACAGGGCTTGGTGGAACAGGTCTATAATCCCAGAACCGGGACAGTGAAGCAGGAGTTCAAAGTCATCCTCAGCTATAAGTTTGAGGCTAGCTTAAGCTGCATGGTGCCCTGTTTCAAAACAAACAAACATAAAAAGAGCGAGGAAGGAGAGGTTTAGATGTCAAAGTGACTCTCCCCAAGAGTGAAATTGGAAATAAAGTTTGCTTTCCTGAACTTCTCAGTGAAAATTCCTCTCACTTTCTTGATGAAAACAACAAAAATGTTATTTTTAATACTGTTAGCTTTTTCCTAACTGTGACTAGAATAATATTATGTCAGGAATCAGGGAACTTTTCGAGGGTTATGGAAACTTGATTTTTACCTGATGTCAAATTAACCTGTTCCCCAGCTTATTTTTGTGGTGAGGTAGTTAATGGCCAGAGTGTGCCAGGGCTGTTTCCTAATGGCATATGGTATAAGTTGTATGAGCTGAATGTAACAAAACAATCTTAATAGCCTGTTCAAGTGTCACTGGAGGCTCTCTTAGTACAATTAGCTTCACAGCCTTCAGAAGTCCTGGACACTTTAGTACTAAAAGAAGGTCCCCAGGACACTCTTGCCAACCTCTTGCTCTCTGTCTATGGCTGTAGAAGACGATTCATAGACATCATTGTCAGTTTGTCTTGTGGTTAATTAAGTAGTTCTATTATGTTTATCCATTTAGATGTCATCACATGCCAGGTTGTGTTTTGAGCCTTTGCTTTGTTTCTAAGACACAGGCTTCCTTCCTATTTAAGACAAGAAAGCGGGCTCAGTGGTCTAGGTTTCGATGATGGTAGATTCTTTATTCATTTTAGTTTCCCATTTATAAGAACATTCACTGTAGCACCAATATGTAAATATCTACCTCCCAAGCACTCAAAGCTGTCATACAGTCTTTTATGTATAAGCCCAATTTCTATAGGCTTCTGACTTTAAATATTCTTGACACATCCAACAGTTCATCATTTGAATATCATTAGGTTTTATCAGCCATTCAGACGGTTGGTTCCTTTGCTTCTGAAATACAATCTGCCCACCAAAGCACAAATGGGTAGTTACAGATGGCAAACCGAAATAATGACTCCAAGCTTCCTGGGATCACAGGCAGTCATATTCTAGAGTGATGCCATAAATTCAACAATATCAAATTTTAAAATGTTCAATATGTTGTTCAGGAAGCTCTGTTTTGGAAATATCTGGTGCCCAAACAAGTAAATGTGCACTGACAGGTTATGTCACCTTGTTGATAGAAGTCATAGGATGAGAACAGCCTAAATGCCTGTCATGGGGACATATAAGTCACATGTATTACAAAGCAGACATTCAACTGCCGGTTAAACAATTTAACCTTATGTGTTCTACCAAACAATTTCCCCAAGTTATTAAATGAAAAATTAGGGTGCTACTATTAAAATAGAAACTATACATGCAAATTCATATTCTTGAAGAAAGGTGGTGAACTATTTGTCATTACATGAAAAACTAGAATATAAAGCAGTGGTTAGTATTTCCTGTTTATATAGTCAGGTACTTGTATACACTTAAATATGGAAGAAAGGCAGAGGGTGTGGAGAGGGGTATAGCCCAACTGGTAGAGTGCTTACCTTGCAAATATAAGGCTATGAGTTCTGATTCTCAGCACCACAGAAAGAAAGTGGGGGGAAGGAAGGGAGGAAAGAAGGAAGGGAGAGGATTAGATAGACTCTAGTGATCACATGAATGATAATTCAAAGTGAGTTTTTTCAATCACTTTAAAAAGTATTCTTGATTGGATATGTAAGAAACTAGGACCCATGATTGTTTATCAGGAAGGAGGTGTGTGAGGCTGTGGAGATGACTTAGTCAATAAAGTACTCAACTTGAAAGCACAAGGACCTGAGTTTGATTCCCAGTGGTTGTGGCAGTGCTCACTTAAAATCCCAGCACCAGAGAGGTGGAAACAGGAGGGTTCGTTGGCCAGCTGATTCCTAACTGGTGAGCCCCAGACCAGTGAAATACTCTGCCCCACTGCAGATGTACAGCATCCCTAAGGATGACACCCGACACCTGTGGTTGTCCTTTGGCCTCCACATGAACACATATGCATGCGCGTGTGCACGCACGCACGCGCACACACACGCATACAGCCCAAAACAAGTGAGTGAACTTGATGCCAACTACTGAAATTATTATGGGATTTGTGGTTATGAAAATGTTGGCCTCGAACTCAACTCACAACCAACTTCCTGTCTGGGTCTCTAAAGCACTGCTCGGTTAAAAGTGTTCGATATCGCACCCACCCTAAACATTACTTTTGAGGAAATTAATTTTAACTGGCACAAAGCAAGCGTTCACTAAATACTTCTTGACTGGATGATTGGTTGGTCTGGGGCTTGGGGACAGGTGGGCAAGCACTGTCACTGAGCTAAATCCCCAACCCTGACCGCTGGATTGTCTTCTTTCGAGTGTCTGAGAGTGAAAATATCCTGTATGCACGTGTTCTTCAGAAAGATGGCCTCTTATTTAATGGACTGGGTTATGAAAAGAGAGCCTCAACAGCCCACACTTCTGTTTCATAGTCTTGCCATCTACACTTTGAATAATTTATTCTGGTCCTATTTTTTATCCTGACAAGAAATTCAGACTTCTGTCCAAAAGTCTAGAAGTTAGGTGCCTGCTACACCACTGCTTCCCGCTAGCTACAGATCTGCTCTTTGTGAAGTTACTGGTTTTGTATGATACCTCACCTATGCCCTAGCTCACACTGTGAATGCTGGACAGCCTTTGTCACTATTCTGGAGATGGTAGTTTTCTCAAAAGGAAACTTGGTCTGTTTCAAAGTAGAAACTGACAGTCTCGCACAGGTTTGTGAAGACTTGACAAAATGATGCAATTCTAAGATAGTAATCCTTTGACTTTGAAAAATGTTCATCTTTGGCATTAGTTTCTGGAGCTATATTTTCTGAAGAAAAGCCTGAGAACCACTTTGGACTTTTGTTGACTGGCCTTAATTCAGATGCTTAAGGGATTTGACAATGATCCCAGACAGATTCTTGTCATTTGTCCCCTTAATGTAATGGCATACTTAGAAATGAAATCCCTAGTTTCTTCCTGTCTGGCAGTTCTCAACATAAAGGTTGTCTTTGATCAGATACAATGGGTGTGAAACACCTAACTTGCTACCTGCTGCATAATAGACACTAGGTGCTGGATGTCCCTACCAGGGTTTAGTGGCTTTGAACTGAATTCACTCAGATTTTCATATTTGTCTGGCTAGAATTTTTTTAATTAAATCAACAGATTTAATCTATTTTAATCTCATATATAATACAGCAACAGAGTGAACAAGACTCCAAATTTAATAATACTTAAATAGAAGATAAGCACAGACCAGGGACATTCACCCAGAAAAGTCAGTCTCCTGGTTATCATATTTTTCTAACATTGTGGGAAGAGTTAGGAGTTTGGAATGCTTCTGCTGAATACATTCCATGGCCTAGGCAGTGTGGCTCTTGTTTCAGGGAAGTGGACAACTGCCACATTATAGACCACATATTTCATAAGTGGGATACCTCGAGAATTCAGATATATACATATATGTGTTTGTATGTATATAGATAGATATAGATCAATAATGTGATTAGAATTAAGTGGTAGGATTAAAACAATTAACAGCTTCCAGATGATTTTTGCACAAAATATTCACCACACATTCACTACTAAAAAATTTGAAATACCAAATGTCTAACCAATATATTGATCCTATTCCAATATCTCCATAACATAAAAGCTTGCAGAGATGAACAGTAATAGCAATGATACTATTAGCGAGGGAAGCTTCTGTGTTCTGACTTAAATGATGAGAAAGCAACAGTCAAACTCTAACAACTCTTGACTCAATTCTACTTAAAACTCTATATAGAAACAAAAAAGATGATAAAATAATTAACAAACTCAAATTGATGCCAGCTAGTAATATCCACGATCAGTCTTTCTGCCATTTGCAAAGATGAGTGATTCCCCGTAGTTTTTACAATGTATATATCTCTCTTGCAATGAGGGGGAAAATAGCTCCCAACTAAATCTCATCACAGGCATTCCAATCCGAACAACCCTGGACAACTCCACAACAGTTCAATACGCAGGTCTTCTCCATCAGCTGACCATGAAGGCCAAGAGCACAGTCCGGGACATTGACCCCCAGAATGACCTGACTTTCCTCAGGATCAGATCGAAGAAACACGAAATCATGGTAGCCCCAGGTAACTGGACATGTTGTTTCATACTGAAAATGTTTTTCTACTTTACTGGCTTAAAACCTTGTTTCAAATCCTGGGGATTATAGAGTCTTGGTGAGTGTATAGATTTTAATATGAAATGTGAGGCATAAAGCTCTTTGGTTACAGAAACAAAGATGTTTCATTCTGAAAGCCAAACTCAAACAGTGTATGAAATTAGCAAGCAATTTGGCCTTTAAACAAGCTGAATTTACCCATTTTCACTTACTAGTTATAAAATAACTAGCACAGGGACTGAGACATCACTGGAGATGGGATTGGAGAATTTCCAGGCTCATCTTTCTTTCAGTTTACTTTGCTTTCTGGGTGTGTTTGAAAAAGGCTATCTCAGCTGCCTGCCTCCACTGTCATTATGGACTCTCCTTTAGTATTTACTTTTTAAAGTGTGTGTATATGTGTGTATACGTGTGTGTGTGTGTGTGTGTGTGTGTGTGAGAGTGAGAGAGAGAGAGAGAGAGAGAGAGAGAGAGAGAGAGAGAGAATGTACACATGTGTATTATTTAAAACAGGGACATAAATGGCAGAATAGCACAGGGACTCTCTGAATAGTGGCAGAAGAGATCCATTCTGGGAATAGAGTAAGAGATGTATCCAAGGCTAGATCAATGTTAACCTCCCTGTGAAGTGAGTGTGACAAGCCAGTCTACTGGAAGACAGGGCCACAGAGTCACTTCCTTGAAGGAATTATATTCAACATGTTTCTGAATAATTGTGTTATGGCCACAAACCTAGCATACAGCACATGATCACATCAGATAAGTAGATAAAGTTTTGTTTGCTGCTGCACATAAAAACCATATTAGAATATTTATTAAAATTAGTGGTCCTGGGGAAAAACAAAATTATAAATGCTGTGCCAAGTTGGTGTGCATTCAGATTTTCCAGGGTGCCATGGCAATTCTGATGTGCAGCTATTGTCTACATGATGTCCACAAGGTGTTTAGAAGAAAGCGGGCTAACAGAAATGTTCATGGATTAGATGTGAACTAACTTTGCTCATGTTTCTCCTTAGATAAAGAATATCTTCTGATTGTCATTCAGAACCCATGTGAGTAGACCTGCTGTGGCCGACTCTATCCTTGTGATGATACCTGGAAGCCCTTCATTCCTCTAGTCCATCAAATTGACCTGAATTGAGCCTAGAGACATGTTCTCCTATTTTGACAACAAAACACTCTACATGTCTCCCTTGGTCCTTTTTTACTATATTATGGTCTTGTGCTTTTGCTGGATAATAAACAAATTCTGCCATTTATGACCCTGCTTTTTAAAACACACACATACACTAGAGCTAGGTTGTGGTCCAGCAAATCCAAGACATCTCCTTTCCCCTACCCACATATCACAGTGCTGAGGCTGCAGATACACAGGGCTGTGCCTGGCCTCTTACATGGCGTTGGGGATTTAAATTTGGGTCCCCAGTTTTGTGCTGAAGTGTTCCTTACTTGCTGGTTCAGTTCCTCAGCCCACACATCCTATTCTGATGCTCTCTATAACAGGTTACTCAGTTGAGATCTTTGTTATTGGTAGCGTGTTTTCCTCTTCCTTCATCTCAATAAAGCCTGGGTAAATCAAACAGTCCATTCCTGGACAGCTTCAGCATCTGATAATTCAGCAGAAATGAGATCTTGTTAAAATCCAAAAAAAAAAAAAAAAGCAAAGAAATGCATTCATGAGGAAGGTCCTGTTATACTTAAGATTTGCAAAATTTCAGAACTAGAGAGATCACTTGACCAAACCCTTGTTTCAATGGTTACGTATTTCACCTGAGCTGGGTCCAGGTGTCCTTAAGACATCAGGGATATGGCTGTGCCTGTAGAATAGGCATACATGATCTTATTAGGGGCTCATGTGAGAGCTCTCTACACCCTCCAAAATTGCTTTCAGATGATACAGAATTGCATGTTGTTTTAAAATATTCCAGAAGTAACATTTGAATCCCAGATCTGTCATTTCCTTTTAGTTTGCCAGTCTACCCAGAGCTCATGAGCAGATGCATGGCTGAGCAGTAAAGCCCCTTCCTTCTGCTTGTCCAAGTCAAAAATTTCAAGCCTCATTTGAGATAGAGTAGTGTGAAATCTCTGGCAAGTGCAAATGGACCACTGCAAATGCCAGGGGTCCTTGAGGGCTCTTTTGGAAAGGAAGTCCCCTCTATCCCACTGGGGAGGGAACTCACAGAAGCCTTCCTAGATTTTGCACCCAGAGTCAACTCTGTTGGGGGTAGAGACTATGGCAGTGAAAGGCAGAACTTACCAGAGCCAATAGCAACCGAAGTAAGTGTTGTATCTGTTCCAGCACATGGGCCCCCTATCCCCCCTTGGATTCACAACAGCATAGGTAATGAACTATATTTCAAAGATGATTGCGCATAAGACTAACAATCCATACTCATCCAAAACCGTTGGTGGACTTTCCTTTCCCACTGAGAAATGCAAGCCTGGGTTCATGCTGTATCTCCTTTTAATCCAATTAGCTGTAAATTTTACCTTTAACAACAGAAGGGACGTTTGTAGGGTCTCTGGAGGGACAGATTCCAAACCATAACTATTAACAATAATAATAATAAGCCTCAAAGTCAAGCTTAACAAACAAGGGGAGAGCACATTTAAACATCCTTAGCATCATGCATTCCCCATCTTCATCTCTGAAGAACAGAACCATTCCATTGGAGGCTTTGGGGGTACCTGTCCAGAGCTCTAATACAAGACTGCCTATCTTCTTCTAAAGCCCAAATTACCATAGGGTGTGTGTGCTTGTGTGCACATGAGTGCAGATGACTATAGAGGCCAGCAGAGGGCATCAGATTCCCTAGAGTTGGAGTTACATTTGGTTGTGAGCTTCTCTATGTAAGTACTGGAATCCAAACTCAGGTCCTCTGGTAAGGCATTATGACCTCTTAACCCCTGAACTATCCATCCTTTTGTCTTGGATTTCAAAAAATTGCAATTATCTTCAGTACATGTTTGGCACAAAGGAAACTACCTCCAGCTCCCTGTTAAGGAAGTCATGCACTGTCCCTGGAATGGGAACTGGAACATGTGCAGATGAACTGATCATATTCATTCAGTATTATTTGCTCACATTGTTAATGAGGAAAAACAGGTTTTTGGGACCAGAAGAGTTTCCAGTTAGTGGGTAAATCTTCAAGTAAGGATTTAACAATAATAAGGCAGGGGCCCATGTTCTGAGAGACTGGAAGGATCTTCAGCCTTCCCTTAACAGAGTTACTTCTGTTAATGGAAGCTCAGAGATCTCTGGACAATTTGGGTCATTCAAGGCTAGAAACCCTTTAGTGTATTCATTTTATAAGACTGGAAATGAAGAGATGGCCCATGCTTTATGAAGTTCTCCCTGAGGAGATAAAGACAAATGCCTGTTTTCCCCAGGCAATATGGTCAGAGCAAAGTGTGATTCTACCAAAGTCCAACATGGAAAACCAAGAAGTTTATAGGGGTTTCTTACAGAGCAAGGGTGAGGTGTTGCTTACAGGGCAAGGGGGGTTGCTTATAGGACAGGGGTGAGGGTTACTTACAGAGCATGGATGAGGGGTTACTTAATAGTAGCATGGATGGGCCCTAAATCAGTCACATCATCCAGAAAGTCTCATGCCAGTGATGGGGGGGTGTCCTTTTGTATGCTGTGAATATATGCTTTTCTTTTTGGTTGATGAATAAAGCTATTTCAGGCCAATGGGCAGAAAGGATGTAGCCAGGCAGGAAATGTAGAAGAGCCACCAGACTAGGAGAATTCTGGAAAGAAGAATGTAGAGAGAGTGAGTCACCAGGAAGATGCCATATAGCTACTGGGAAGGCTACAAATTACACCCAAACCTTTAACACGAATTTCCATATAAAACCTGACAAAAGCTTAAAAAGGTATTCTAAACACAGGAGAACAGAATCAAGCCTGGCTTCTTGGTAGCACCATTTTCTTGGGTGGGCTCTTTGTTAGAGGCAAGCAGAAGCTCAGCTCTTTTAAGAGAGGGGGTTCCTGTGTTAGCAGCAAAACCTGCAAGGCTCTTTTAAGAGACCCTACTACCAAAAAATTAAATGGTGCTTAGGAGAGCCACAGCATGGTTCTTGGTGGTGACATGGACCTAGAAACTCTACAGAGTTGTGGCAATAAACATGGCTCACACTGATACCTTACTCATGAAGCTAGACTCTCAGAAAGCCAAGGAATAGGGCAGGGTCAACCATGTCTTTAAACTTAGCCATGCTGTTTAGCAAATTAAAGACTCATATGGTCAGAAAAAGATAGAGATACACAGTAAAGACAGATTCAGAGGAACAAAACCTCTAAACGTTATACTGTGTGTTTAAAAATATACATAGGCTTGGGAGAGAAAATATAAAGTCCTTTAAGAAAAAGAAATAAAGGAACTGGATATGTTGGCATATGCCTTTAATCCCCAGCACTCAGGAGGCAGAGGCAGGCAGCTCTCTGTGATTTCAAGGCCAGTTTGGGCTACAGAGTGAGTTCCAGGACAGCCGAAGATACACAGAGGAACCTTGTCTCAAAAATTCAAAAAAAGTAAAACATAAAAAATTAAAGAAACAGAGTACTAAAAGCCACATAAATACAGAGAGTGTCTGAATACTATATGTTGTGTTGCTTGACTGAGGGAGCAACAGCTGCTAAAAAACATTTGATTATAAATGTTACTGGATTAATCCGTGTGTGTGTGTGTGTGTGTGTGTGTGTGTGTGTGTGTGTGTGCGTATATACATATTTGAAAATGCCTTGACTTCAAAATTTAAGTTTAAGAACATGTTACTTTGGAAAGGAGGTTCTGCTTTTGTTTCCACAGAAGATGAAAAGCTGTGGATTCCTTCCAGACCGATATGGTTTGATCAAACAAGACCCCCTGAAGCAGTGGCCCAGGTGTTCCAACATCCAAAACAGCCGAGACTATGCAGACTCACAGACCACTACAGCCAAGATTTGGCCAGGGTTCTGTGCTTTCTCAGGATTCCTTTAGGATTGACAATGCCATCCCCCAAACAGCAGCAAACAGTTTGGAGATAACTATGCCTACATTACTAAATATTATTTATAAATGCTTGTTGATTATAAATGTTTAATGATCACAGGCAATCTCTTTCTAAAGAAAAAAAAGTATATGATATAAAAATGAATACTTTGCATTGGTATGGATTTTGGTTTATTGATATAAATTTAAGGTTAATTTTGTTATATGTAAATTTCTACTCTTGTTTAGGTTTTGTGTATATATAGCTCTTTTAAAATGTAATGTATAATTAAACACAGATTATAAATAGTCATCCATAATAGTCAAAATTTTGAGTTATGCTAGTTAGGTTTTCTGGGTATGCAGAGATATATTTTCAAATGGATTGATATTCTTCAAAACCTTTCAAAGATCTACATAACATGGTATTTAAAATGATTTATTAGGGCTTTTTTTTTTTTTTTTACAATGAGACACAACTGCTCCTGGAAACACCAATTACATCAGAGAGGAAGATGGGCATCACAGAAACCTGTTGTGGAGTTTTCCTTCAACCTGGCAGGGATAGCCAGTTGGAAAAGAAATTGCTCTTGCCTGGACTGCTTGACAGCATGCTGTCCAAACTGGGCAACCAGGTTACAAAGAAAAGTGATTTCTGAACTTGACAAGGGACAAGATGGTCCTTCAAGGTTTCTGCCTCATCAAAAAAGTCTGATGCCCTAATATTACAGGAAAACTTTGGGTGACAATCTAGGCAGTGAGATGCCTCTGTCAATTCTAGAGTTTATTTATTATGTTTCTGAGGTCATCGATGGAGTTGAAGACAAATAGTTATGGTTATGGTTTTCCTTAGTTGCAGTAAAAAATAAGTTACATATAAAACTTTAGACTCACAAAAATAGGATAGATGATAAAAATATTTTCTTTAAATTTTGCCAAATGTTAGTGGACTAAATATTGTTAACTATAGCTCTTGCTTGTAGCTTTTGATATATATAATTTTATTATGTTAAAGTTAAAACCTTTTTATTTAGACAGAAAAGAGATGATGCAGGATATCCTTCTGTATGCTGCAAATATATGCTTTTCTTATTGGTTGATGAATAAAGCTATTTCGGTCGATATGCAGGCAGGATGTGGCCAGCAGGAAGTATAGGTGGAGCTACACGACTAGGAGAATTCTGGGAAGAGGAACGCAGAGAGTGAGTTGCCAGGGAGACACCACATAGCCACCAGGAATGTAAGACACCCAGGTATTCTCTGGCAAACCCAAACCACA